CTCTCAGCCTGGTTGGCCCCAGGTGCCTCTTGAGCCCCGGGCCACAGGAGGGACGCCAACGGCCTCAACCCATTACCACGTAAGCGGTTCTGAGTGGTTTTTTGGGTCCTCACATCTCTAATAGATTGAAAAGCGTCACAAGGACATGGAGTGGCTCTTGTGGCAAGCCCCTGGTTCTGGGAGGCCTGAGCCGGCCCAGCCGCCACCTCTGGGCTTGCTGGCTGCCCTTGCTCCCTCGCTGCCGGCTGTCTCCTGATCATCTCATCTCCCCAGTATGCTCTCCCCGGTGACTCCTGGGTGTAGTCCTCCCCCAGGCTTCAGCAACCCCCTACCCTGGGCTCAGCTGGGGCCCAGGCAAGCCATGTCCTCTGGCTGGCGGGGCCGCAGCGCCATGCAGCAGGTGCAACCCTGGGCAAAGATCGGGAGCCACAGCATCTCCGTCCCTCCTTCACCAAGTCCTCCAGTCACCCACCCCAGCCCTGTCCTGGCCCTGCCGGCCACTGCCTGCGTGAGTTATAAATACAACAACCATGTACACCAGGGGTCTTCCACATACTCCTAGGAAACATGTGCTATGAAAATACCACACATGGACCTCAAAAATGCTTGGCACTAAAAACTGTTTCTCTTTTAATCCCAGTTCCCCCCACAAACCTCCTGTAGCCCCGTTGGACACACACGCCCAGCAGCCAGCCCTCCCCACTGAGGCTGAGCCAACTCACAGACCCCTTGAGTAACCTTTTCACCAAGGCGCATTTCTCAGTGTGTCTGTTCCCCACCAGCCCCCATGCAATAACTCATTATACATCTAGTGTCTGTTGATTGAGAAAACGGATGATGGCAACAACTACCAAGAATTCGATAACGCCTTTAAATGAATCTGTGTTTTGGTAATCACCAAGTGTTGACGTACACTTGAGAAATTGCCATGCTCCCTGGCGATTGCTGTTCTGTGCTACAGAGGATGCTCTGCTGGGGGGAGCCTCCTTCCCTCTGCCACCATTGCCACGTGCTGGCCCTGTTTGGGGACCTGCACAAGGTACCCTGGGGCTGGGGCTTGCAGAGTGAGGCTCCTGCTGCTTAGCTGGGCCCCAGCTCCTGGATGGTTCCTGATGCTGATCTAGGCACTGGGCCTGGAGCAGGTTGAAACAAGCCGCTCCACCCCTCAGGGCAGGAGGTTGCTGTCTGCATGCTGTGGCCTGTGTGCTGTTTGCTCAGGGACTCAGGCCAATAGGGCCCCTGTCCATCATGAGCTTCTTAGATCACCAGGGCCCCTGATGCTCCCACCCACGTTAGGCTGGCCCTCCCTGGGCTTCCAGTGGTAGGCCGGGAGAGCTGGAATCCCTGCACACAACCCTCACTGTGACCATAGTCAGCCATTCTGTGCCAGCCGGAAGCTGCCGACAGCCTTTGACAAGATATCGTCTGCAGTTAATGGGTTCCCAGCTTCACCCCTTGTGGGTTTGATTGGTGGGCCCTTCTGCCATCTTCCCTAGAAGAAGACAGCTCTGAGAAGGGCGTCTGTGTCATTGCTAATGAGCTGGGCTTTAGCGGGCGAGCAGAGGTTTCCTTTCCAAGGGCACTCTGCATGTGCGATAAGCCGGCATGAATGACAGGTCCTGATGCCCTCGTCCATTCCGGCTTGATGGGTGGCATCTGTCACTGTGTCCTGCACCAGTGAGGTCTTAGGGTCTCCACATCACCGCGACTGTCACCTGTCCCCACTCTGGAAGCTGAACACAGCCGCGGCCCTGGCATCTGTGACCCTCCTCGCAACCCTGGCCAGGCTGGCTGCTACCCCGGCCCCACACTGCCACTGCCAGCCCAGGCCCTCATTTCACAATGGCTCCACAGCTCTACGCCTGTCAACAGAAATCAGTTCTCGAGTGTACTGGAGTGGGGCCCGGAGTTACTTAATTCAGGATGTGACCCCAGGATGGGGCAGCAAGACACAGGGACCCAGGGCCATCTGTGCACTCCCTGGATGGGGTGGGGAGCAGCCATGCAGCTGAACACCCTGCTGCCTTTCCTTCACCCCCACGCTCTTTCCTAGCTGCACCCCCTCTCATGCCTGCCCCAGGAGCTCCCAGGAACACTGTGGGGCAGGGCCCTGGACTAGTGGGTGGTAGGAAGAGGTATGTGCTGGAGGAAGGATCAGCCTGTTCCCTTTACAGCATCGGAGTTAGCAGGTGTGGGAAAGGAGCGGAGCCTGCCTCCCCACTCACGCCCCACCTGCCTTCCCTGTACCCAGGCCATCCAGAGAACGACCCACAGTGGGGAACCTGAGCGGGAGGCCCCAGAAGTGGTGCTCTCCAGAGCAGTCCTGCACGCTGGTCATCCTAGCAGCACGACAGGGCTGTGACCCACCTCATCCTGGGCTCCATAGCAAGCTGGCAGGGTGCCTGGCGTAGACCCTGGGTTCCTGACCCTGCCCCATGATCCTAGGAGACAGAGTGGGGTAGAGGTGGGGGACCCAGGGGCATCCACCCAGGGCCTTGGTCCTTCCAGAGACAGAACGTGCAGGTGACTAGGGCAGTCCCGCTTCCTCAATGGGGCCTGATGCCGGGGGTTTTAAACTAGGTGAGTGACCCACCCCCCGCAGCTGCCTCCTTGGGACTCTTTGGGGTTGGGGCGGGGGAAGGAGGAAGCCCATGCCAGGGCTGGCACCCTTGCTCCCCCTCTGCTGTCTTCTTGCACCCAGGGAAGCCACTCAGGCACTTTGTCTCAATTCCCACATCTGTGAAGCAGGACCAATGATACACAGGTCAAAATGTGCTGGCCACATGAAGCTCGGGGGCCCAGATGTGTCACTGCCCACTGCTGTCCCTTCCCGATGCCCTTTGGGGGACCTATAAGGGTGAAGGAAGAGGAGTGAGAAAGCCTAGGGGGGCCCAGCTAGATGCATCAGCCGTTACTGGATCCAGTGTGGTCAAGCCTGGTTAACACTGGGCCAGCCCCCAGGGAGGCAGGAGTGGTGGGGGCGGGGATGGGTATAAATGTGTATCACAGATCATTTGTCTGCAGCCACAGCAGGGCCACTGTGGGGACAGGTCAGCTGTCAAAGGCCAATGTCCCAGAAGATGAGAGAGAGAGAGATGAAATATTAACCTGTCCCTGGCTTCTTTCTTTCTTCCTTTCTTTCTTTCTTTTCTTTCTTTCTTTCTTTCTTTCTTCCTTTCTTTCTTTCTTTCTTTCTTTCTTTCTTTCTTTCTTTCTTTCTTTCTTTTTCTTTCTTCCTTCCTTCCTTCCTTCCTTCCTTCCTTCCTTTCCTTCCTTCCTCTCTCTCTCTTTCTTTATTTTTACTGAAAAGGCAGATCAGATACAGAGATACGGAGAGACAGAAAGATCTGTCCACTGGTTCACTCCCCAAGTGGCCACAATGGCTGGAGCTGAGCCCCTCTGAAGCCAGGAGCCAGGAGTTTCTTCCAGTCTTCCACATAGGTGCAGTATCCCAAGGCCTTGGACCATCCCCTCCCTCCTGCTTTCCCAGGTCCAAGCAGAGGGAGCTGGATAAGAAATGGGGCATCCAGGACACGAACCAGAGTCCATATGGGATCCCAGCTGTGTAAGGCAAACCACTGAGCCGTCGCGCCAGGCCTGTCCCTGCCCATTTCCCTCCACCTCTAGATGTGTCCCCCACTCTCCCAGGCCTTCCTTGCTCAGTCCTTGGAGCAGGTGCCCCAGTAGGGGCGGTCTCTGTGTTGCCACTGGAAGAACTGAGGACAGGTTGTACCCCACTTTCTCCAGAGCAGACCCTCACCTGTCTGCCTTCCCCAAGGGTCTCTGTATGGCTTGTGGAATAGAAGCCAAAGCCAGGCGGGGGTTTCCATGCCGCGGTGTCCTGAGGCCTAGCAGCTGGCAGGAGCCTCACAGAGCAGAAGCCTGAACAAATGGACAGGTACTACTATGTGCACAGCCAGTGAGCCATGCCTGTGGCCCAAAGGTCAGGCAGAGGGTTCATCATGCCCAGAGCTGCTTGGCCCGGTGACATCCACGGCCAGGAGTCCAGTGGAGAGAGAGTATTAATAACTCGTGGTGAAGGGTCCCTCTGCAGGGATGTCCTCTCATCCAGAGCGGGCGGGCCACGGGCGCCTCCCCTAGCAGAATCTCCTTGGTATTCTCCTGTGACAAAGTCATAACATCTTTGGGCTTACCCCAAGGCCTTGAGCCAGCCTGCTTTCCCAGGTCATAATCAGGGAGCTGGATGGGAAGTGGATCAGCCAGGACACAAACCAGAGCCCATATAGGATGCCAACTCTACAGGTGAAGGTTTAGCTTGCATGCCACAGTGCCAGTCCCTGGTCTCACTTTTTCTTTGCAAAGTGTCTGTGAGCAAGCCTGCCTTCCCCAGAGCTCAGGCCTGCGGGGATGTGAGCACCACGGCCGTGCTGCCTGAAGTAGTGCCCGCCAACTCTCCCAAGGTCTGCACTCTGCGCCCTGGACCAGTCTTTCCAGCAGCGTTAGTGTCGCTATGGTCTGTCTACAGATGTGGGAACTGAGGCCCAGGGGCTTTGCATATGTCCACAGAGTGGCTGAGCCGTGAGGAAGGTCAGCACTACAGGGATCCTGGCCAGGACAGGAGCTCTGCTTGCTTCCTGTGGATCTGGGGCCCCGGTCTGCAAAGGGAGAAAGACGGCAGGATGTGGGAGCTGAGATGGCATTGGCACTCACACAGTAGTAGGGCCTTCTTTCTTAGTGTTTTTACATTGAAACCTGAAAAGTACAGTGTGAAAGTCAGCTGTTCATTGGACCCTGCTCCACCAGGCGACCCCATTGCCAGGTCCTTGGAACCAGTGATTTGGGAAGTGATCTTCATCATCCCAGAAGCTCCCAATGAGGAGTCCCTGCCGGTCCGCACTGGGGACCACGTGGACTCTTCCCCCATTAAACTCCTCCTCCCTCTGCTTTCTAGAGGCCACCACCAAGGCAAGAAGGAGTGAGCTGAGGATTGTGCCTTCCACCTGCCGCCTTCCCACCACCCTGCCTCCCTGTGTAGCAACATGGTGGTGCAGGACAGCTTGGATGCCACATCGGACAGCCAGATGGGCGTGCCCCTGGAACCCTTCCTGCACCAGGTCGGGGGCCACCTGAGCATCATGACCTACGACGAGCATACCGTGTGCAAGCCCCTCATCTCCCGCGAGCACAGGTTCTACGAGTCCCTGCCCACAGCCATGAAGCACTTCACCCCACAGTATAAAGGTGAGAGGTTGGACCCTGGTGGAGAGGGTTGCCATGGTGACCAACCCCTCTTCTCCGGTAGGCAGGGCAGCTGGCACTGTCCTAGTTTTCTCTGAACTCCCAGCCTCTAGGTCTGGCTTCCCTGTCAATTAACTCAAGTCACCAGACCTGGAGGACTTCAGAATGGAATAAGTGGGCAGCCAGATGCCACCGGCTCATAGTGAGGGCTCTCTAGGCTGTGCCTGTAGTGTGTGACTGGCTTCCAGGACAGGGGGAGCCTGCAAGTAGGGGGTGGGAGCCTTTCTCTCAGGCCAAGGAGGAAAGGCTGGGGGACAAAGCTTGTCAACAAACCAGAGTTCTCACTTGCATGCAGGAAAGGGGCAAGCCGGGGGACCACACAGTGCCCAGGGGAGCTTGGGAGATTGCACGAGGCGGCCCGTGCCTCAGATCTGAGTACAGGGCAGGTTCTGGCAAGGGTATGTGTGCTGCCCCTGTTGCGATCCCCAAGGCCAATCACCTCGTCCACCCCACAAACCCCAGCAGGAGGAGTACAGGGGCAGATGCTCAGAGAACAGGCCTCTGCCCAGCACTTGCAGCGCCCGGCTGCAGGTCGCCAGCCACCCTGGCCATCACTGAAAGTGCTCAAGGAGATGCCCTCCAAATGAGTCCTTGCAATTGCACCATGCAGGTGACTCTGGGAAAAAGTGGCAAGCAGTGTTTACGGTGTAGACGTATGGCAGACACTCAGGCCCCAGTGCAGACCTGTGCCTGGGCTACTTACAGCATGGTCCAGGATGAGGCCCCCTAGAAGAGACCCCCTGAACTCCTGTGGCCTAGCCACTGAGTCCACACACTGTCCACACATGTCAATATTTCCATTTACCCCTCCGGGACCTCCTGAGGAGCTGCGGCCTGGAGGAGCAGGGAGGGTGAGCATTGCAGGTGTCCCCTCACCCATAGGGCCTGGTCTTCCCCTGGGGCTTCCCAAGGCTGCATGTTGGAGCTGCCTGGTAGCTGTGGGTCACTGCCCATCTCACCAGGAATTAATGTTTGTTCTTTCACAACTGAACCCAGCATAGAGGTGGCAGGCCCTGGCCAGGGCAGCCTCTGCCAGTGGCGTTTCACACTGGTTCCATGCAGCTCTGCCCCAGGCAAGGGGGGCAGGGTGGTGAGAGAGGCGTCCTGTACCCTGTCTGTACCTGGCCATGCTACCTCCTTGCCTCCAGGCTGGGAACAGCCTGTCCTAAGAGAGGGGCCATTCTAGCATCTCTGCAGGACAGAACACCAACAGGAGCAGCACTCCCCTGGAGGGTCCCCCAGTACCGTAGCATTGTGTGGCTGTACCCCGCTCCTTCGCAGGCTGCCTGTCAGCCTCGGGCGGTGAGGACGTGCTCTTTGGGCCCTGCTGCCTAACAGTAGAGCCAGATTCGTATTACAGACGGCAGCAGCTGAATGTTCTCTCATGAGATTAAAAATAAGCCCACAGGAGGATATTCGCCGAGGTTCTGGAAGCTGCTCTGCCAAAGCCCAAGTGAGGAAATGCCCTGGGCATGCCGATCTGGCAGTAAGCTGCCCGCCCAGCTGGCCAGGGTGCAAAGGGAGGGCCGGGAAGCAGGCAGATGGGTCCCTGGAGAAGGTGGCCAAGTGGCCGGGGGCGGGGTAGCAATAGATGCCTTGGAGGGAGTCTGTTTTTGCAGCCCACCTTCTCTGAACTTCAGGGTCACTGTGGAAAGCAGATGAAACATTCAAAGGTGGGGGAGGTGGGGTGTCACTTAAAGGGGCTGTTTCTAGCAGTGGTTGCAGGCTTCTAAGAATAATCTCTGATGGGGTAGCCCCGGGCCTGAGGGACCACAATCCTAGTGCGGTTGCTGACCAGCCCTCTGTTATGGAGGAGGGAGTTGAGCAATCAATGTCGCTTCCTTTTTCCTCCTACCCTTCCTTCACCTGCCAGTGCCTGCACAATGCAGAACTGTGCAGAACTGAACCCTGCTGTCAGTCTGAAGTGCTGGGCCCAGCTTGGGAGTCACTGGGGAGTGAAGGACAAGGACCTCACAGGCGCCCTGCATAGGGTCACCCTCCCCCACCCCCGCCGTGACACCAGGCTTGGCCCAGAGGACTAGTGGGAGGTCAGAGGGGTGGGGTGCAGACAGGAGACTCCCCCAATAGCAGGTGCTCTTGGCAAAACCGCCTGAGGGGGTGTCTTTCATGCCATCCCAGTACTGGCAAGACCGGGCTCCCTCTGGCTGCCAAGCTCCAGGAAGGAAGGGCAGGTGCCTGAGCTGTGAGTATGGCTACCTCTTGGAGATGCCCGGGCAGCGTGTTGGTGCAGCAGGTTCCCAAGGGCTGCTGGAAAATCTTCCTGGAAAATGCTGCCCAGATAGACACACACAGAGCAGAGGGGAGTGGAGGGGAGGGCCCCAGCACCCCTCGGCCATCCCAGGCTGGCCACATTGAGCTTGCGATGGCCGGTGGTGAGATGTGGAGGGAGCCAGAAAAGAAGCCCCAAAGGGCACGGAGGGGATATAGAAAGCAGGAACGAGGTGAGGATGGGCCTGGGTGAGCCCAGGGTAGGTGAGGGGGAAGGGGAACCAGTCTAGGCCAGTCCCCATTGCCCTCCTAGGACCAGGAGTTGGGGAAGGAAGGAGGGAGTTGACTGAGTCAAAGGCAGTGACCATGGCCCAGCGTCCCTCTGAGAGACGTCCCTCTCCTTGTTCCACAGGGACCATGTCTGTGCACCTCCGCAGAGACAGCAGGGGCCATCTCAGCCTGGTTGCCCACCCACTGCAGGAGAGCCAGCAGCCCTTCCAGGCACCCCCAGAGTCAGCGGCCACAGCAGCGCGGCGTGGGTACCAGAAGACCGGTGGCAGTGCCTGGCCCCTGGCCCAGCAGCCATACTCGCCCGCCAAGAGGTGAGGGTTGCCATGCAGACACGGATGGACGGACATGGGGATGGCTGCTCCCGCCTGAGCCCACCCAGGCAGGGCCGGGAAGGGAGGCATTCTCACACAGGCTCTGTCCGGAACCCCTAATGCCACCGAGGAAAGGAACAGTCTTCAGTTCTGCCACTCCTCGCTCCTGGCAGGCAGGTGGCCAGGGTTGCAGCTGAGGCAGGGGGCAGCGCCGAGGACAGAGGAGGGGTCAGGGCAGGTTCGCCTCCTCAGACACCTGTCCTGTTGAAAGCAGGAAGTGTCAGGAGGTGGGATGACAGCACAGACACCCCAGATAGCTGGTAGAGAGGAGAAGCATGACCAGCCTGTTTGGGACAAGGATGGGGGGCGGTAGGGTGTCAGGGCTTAGGCCCCTGAGATGCAGAAGACTGAAGCCTGAGCCTCCCCTCCCCCCTCTCAGAGGTCAGGGAACCCTCCCACTGAGGGAGCTGACTTCCGACAGAACCCCCAGGGCTAAGAGATGGGGAGCACTTCCTCCCCACAAGGTACATGGCTGGTGCTGCACCTGACAAGGAGGTCAAGGCTCCCATGGGGTGGGAGATGCCCCCAGCAATCCAAGGACCCAAGCCCTGGGTGTGCGATTCTAGGTGAGGCCACTGCCCCATAGCAAGCCATCCATAAACCCCATCACAGATAAGTGAGTGTGAATGGCCCCGACTCTGATGAGTGGGTCTGGAGGAACCACTTCCTCTTTACCACGAGAGGCTGTGTTGAATAATCTGCTGCCGGGCAGCAGCCAGGGTCAGCCCTTTTTAGAGCCCACCCTGGCCCTCAGCTGCCCTTGCTTCCCTCACCACAGCCTGGCCAGGTTCCACCGGCATACCCAGACGTCCTTGCTGGCAGAAGATGCGAATAGGAACCATGTGGAGAGGAGGAGCTGTAACCCATGGGGCCTGCACTGCCACCAGGCCTACCTGACCCGCCTGTGCTCCGAGTACCCCGAGAAAAAATGGCACCGTATCCTTACCCCACTGGCCAACAGCAGGTTGGACCCCATCAGGGGCCAGGGATACAGGGGAGCGGGGTGGGGTGGGGACAAGTGTGAGGATGGCAGGGTGGAACGAGGCCTCAAACCTAGGACCCAGAAAAATGGGTTCCCTCCCAGTGACAGCGCCATGGAGAGAGAAGTCTCACTGGGAACACACAAAGCTGGATCCAAGGTTGTTTACAGGGCCCCTGGCTGGGTCTCTGCCACCTGGGCATTCAGAGCAACACAGGCAAGAGTCATCTCTGTGAACACACAGCAGTGATTAATGCCACACTGTGTGGGGAGGCAGCAGGCAGCAGGGGCACACACACCCCTGCCTCTGCCCTGGGGCCCAGAGATCGGAGCCTGGGCAAGGCCTGCGGGGTAAAGGCTAGGATAAGTGAGGACCCCACCATGCCCTCCCCGGGGCTGCCTTGAACCCACTGAACAGAGTCAAGTTGGAAGCGGGGAGTCAAGTTGGTCAGCTGGGCTCGCTCCTCTGGCAGGCAGCCGGCTTCACGTTATATACGGAATCACACCCACGGCCTTGAACCCCATGAAGATCTTGCAGGATAATTACTCCACCGAAATTAACATTCCTGCAACTCCTCTCCGGAGCTCACATCCGTGGCCCGCTTCTCCCAAAAGGTACTGGCCCATTCAGCGACTGAAGGTTTCTGCCTGGTGATTTTCTGCTGTAAAATCTAAATTGGGCATGACCCACCAGGGATTTCATGCCCGCATCGAAGTCTCAACCCCAGAGCAAAAATGCAAAAGAGAAAAAACATTTGTTAAAAGTTCACATATTCATAAACTCCCTCTAAATAAATGGACTGCTTATAGGAGCCTGCAAAGCGAATATCTTGCATTCTTAATGACAAGAAGGGGGAGGGAAGGGAGGAGGGCAGGCACTCTGCTCTCCGGGTAGGTTGCTCTGTACCGCCCCCCGGTGGCCGCCTTAACTCATCTGAGCAGGGTTCCTGCTGCTGGAGAACCTGGTGTCCCGGCACACGCACCCTTGCATCTTGGACCTTAAGATGGGCACGCGGCAGCATGGGGACGACGCCTCCGAGGAGAAGAAGGCCCGGCACACCGAGAAGTGTGCGCAGAGCACCTCGGCACGCCTGGGTGTGCGTGTCTGCGGCATGCAGGTTGGTGGCTTGTCTGCCTCAAGCTGGGGATGCGTCTTGGCCCAACCACATACCACTGACCCCTCGCACAGGGCTTGGGAGCCACTCTTGCAGAGAGGAGGCACACACCTGGTCTGTGACACCTAGGGGTGTTTTTTCACGAGCATTTTTAATGCAGTAGGGGGGGCAATGCTCTATCATTTCTCTACTAGATCCCATGGTTCTTGGCAACTGAAACATGGCACTGGAGCTGCATGGTCCTGCCCATGTAGACATCGGTGTATGGTCAGGGGCTGGGGAAGGAGCAGAGGGGAAGCCCCTCAGCAGCTCCCCCCACCCCACACACACACACTACCACCACTACCACCATGGTGGCCCCTGGTTCTGCAGGTGCTGTGAGCCATCGGCCCCTTGTCTGCTTATCCTTACTAGCCAGCCCCTCTCTCCCCAGCCACTCTCTTCTGCTTCCGGCTGCCTGCCTCGGCTATCAGAGTGGGAAGGCCACACCCTGCTCACCCCAGGCAAGGGACTGGTTAATTTTCCTGAGGCGCAGACTCCATGCCTCCTTACTGCAGCAGCTCTGATGTGGTTCACGGCAGGGCTGCAGAGGAGCAAGAGGCCGTGAACGCCCTGGCCACACTCACTCGCACAGTCTGCTTGCTCCAAGCAGAAGCAGACACTGGCTGGATGGTAAACGTTATAGCTTCCCTTAATGGAAACTGCCACCCCTTGCAGCTGCAAGTGGAGTCTATAAATTTGTGGCACAGATGTCCCTTGGAAGGCTTGGGATGTGATCCTCCAGAGAATGAAGTGTGATGATTTGCCGTGTCAATGGAATCTCTCTCTCTGGACCACAAACCTCCTGAAATTGATGCGATTGATTTGGAAGGTGACGCCTGTCGTGTATTTACGACAGCTAATTTAACAGCCGGTCTCTAACCCTCCAAAGACGAGACACAGCCTATCATACCTTTCTGATTTTTTTTTTTTCCAACCTCGGTTTTCTGTAAACATATCAGGTCATCTGAAGGCAGGAAAGAAACCATCTTGGCCATGTCTGGGCAGACCTGCCCAGGTGTGCCAAGTCCCCCTCTGGCCACGCTAACCACAGACCACGGTTCAGCCTCACGGCTTCCTGTACCATCTGAGTGACATGGGGGCGGTAGCCACAGCCCCTCCATCAGCGTCTCTCTTCCATCTGCTCCCTTCTGGTGCCAAGACATAAGAGGGAAAGGAGAGGAGAGAAGGCATCAGCCCCCCAGAGAGGCAGTGAACATCCCCCACACGTGCCGGGGGCACATGGGCTGCCAGCAGACCCCTGACACAACCGAGCTAGCCCAAATTTTCACGCTGCAACAACTCACCCCCTTCCCCCCTGAAGAACCACTACTGCTCCCTTGGAACCGGCTGAGAAATGATTTCATAAACTTTGTTGGGGAAAAAATTAATCTGGTTGGCTTTCCAAGGCCATTGGCCGTGATTGCAGATTTTGGCTAAAGCTCACAAGCTTGGGTTTGCTAATATTTGAATTGAAGAGGGCCGGGAGCCAAAACTTACATTTTGAGTTGGAGGTGATGCTGGAAATTCACAAGAAAGGAGATCCACATCTTTCCCAAGTGGGTGGAGTGTCACCTCTGTTGGATGATGGATTTGTAGACCTTGGATTACCTTTAGAAACACACCATAGGCGTGTTAAATGCAACCGCCAGGCTGGTGCTTGAGGGAAGATCATCTTCCGCTTGTGGCGGCCCCTCTCGGCGCCCTGCATGCCCTGGAAACCTATTCGTAGATTATCGTAGCTGGTAATGCTGCAAAGGTAACAGATGTGATTTTGTTTGAAGTCTGCCCTTCCTCACATGCTCTTCTTTTCTGTGTAAGGTATACCAGACTGCTGGCAAGTACTATCTCTGCAAAGACAAGTATGACGGCCGGAAGCTCTCGGTGGAGGGGTTCAGACAGACCCTCCACCAGTTCCTGCACGACGGAACCCGCCTGCGCACAGAGCTCCTGGGGCCCATGCTGAGCCAGCTCCAGGCCCTCCTGGCCGTCATCAGGAGCCAGACTTCATACCGCTTCTACTCCAGCTCTCTTCTCCTCATCTACGATGGGCAGCAGTTGCCAGAGAGGACCTCAGGTGGCTGGCCTGCTCTGGAAGCTTCTCAAGAAACCCAGGCCAGCTGTCCTGGAGGGTTCCCCAAGGTGGACATCCGGATGATCGACTTTGCTCACACAACATATGAAGGCTCCCGGGACGGGCATACCACTTACGACGGACCAGATCCTGGCTATATTTTTGGCCTGGAAAATCTCATTGGGATGCTACAGGACATCCGAGAGGGAGTCTGACCCTTCTGGGCCCCACCTGGGCTTCTCTGGACATCACAGCTCCAATAAGGCCCCTGTTGGGAGCCAGGGCTGTCTCGATGACGCTTAAGACTCACAGCTACCGTTGAAAGCCTCTCTCTCCACAGCAGACTGTGAGCTGTGAGACAACTCCTCCAGGTTTCTGGAGGTAACTCCACACACGCCAGCATCTCACTCCAATGCTAGTCACTGCAGAATCAACAGTCGGGGTCAAGCAGCCCCGCTTTGAGCCCCCTGGTGAGCGGCCATGGGAGCTGGACGTGCAGTGTTCCAGGGAAAACCCACAGCACCTGCATCAAACAATGCTTTCCTGCGGCCATGCCACAGTCCTCACATGCCGTGAGCAAGAATCTGACTTGAAGTGTAAGTTTTCCACTTCATGGTTTTTCTCTTCATATGGGCTGCCTGCTGCAAGGGCAGACCGAGCTAACAGATGCCTCTCCACTTCCTAAGCGTAGGAGCAGTGGGGCAGGATAAAGTGAGGCACATCGGTCCATCTCACCTGCTCTGTCCCCAGGCTCTGAAGGGACAAGGACAAGCCCAGGCACAAGTGCAGGTGAGCTGGGGCCTGCAGCTCTCTCTCCATGAAGACTGCAGGCACGAAGAAGGTCTCTCTACAGCCTCCTGAGCGCTTCTGGGAAATGAGGATTCTGCCACGTTCTGACCACCTAACGCCTTTTAGCGGAACCTGCAGCTTCTCGGGGGAGGGGGAGCAAGGGAGGAGCCAACCACACCAACCTCTCTTCTCCACTTTCTATTTATTTATTTACTTATTTTTTTGGTGGGGGAGTGTTGGGAGAGGCAGAAGAAAAGAATCTGAAGGCGTGCAGGAACCAGGGGCAGTGTTGACAAGGCTGGCTGAGAAGTGTAAATATGGAGCCAGAATGCACGAGCCTAATTAATTCCTTCTGCCGCAGCGTGGAGACCCATTACAATGCCCTGGAGTCGAGCGCCGGGATGCGTTACCCAATTAGGGAAATAAATTTGTTAATAAAATTGCTGAGGTCACCAGTGATTATCAGCGTGCCTTATTACCCTTTCTGTTTATTTATTCCGATCATCACGCCGCACGGCCCTTCTGATTTACGGGTGACTTGAGAGAACAGCAAGAATGACACACGGACGTTCTGCCATCCTTCAGGGCCTGGGGGGAAATGGTGGCTAAGAAAGCATTCACGTGGATGTGCCAGGCCAGCGCCAGCCCCAAGGGCCAAGTGGTCCTTTTACTTGCACCTTAGACAATCCAACGTTCAAGGTTTGGGGGTTGGGAGGTTCTTGTGGATAATGACCACCAAAGTCCCCAAATCCACATCACCGGAAGGAAAGTGGGAATTGCAGAATACCAGCTCTTATTTGATTTCCGAACGGCCTGCATGGATTCCAAAGCAGGTGAAGGTCCCCAGTGATGTTTGGCCAGGCAATGCTGTAACTGGTTCCCCCACTCAGTGCTTGCAGTTGGGGCGGAGGGTCAGAGCACATGGAGCAACCAAGGGGAGTCGGCCTCCAGCCAAGCCCTCAGCACTGCTTCCGCCAGGCCTGAGAACCTGGCACCACTGCCACTGGGCCTAGAGCTCCAGACCTCAGCTTTTCTCTGAGCCCGAGAGGAAAAGATTGTGAGATTCGCCTGAGAATGGGACAGAGGGGCCGCAGGGATACAAGGCCCACGGCTGGTGCCATCTGTCCCCCCACTGCCCTCTGTGCCCTCACTGCTGTCATGGGGTGCTCCCTTCACCACACCAGGACCCTTCCCCATGAGGCTTTCTTCCTCCTCCCCACATGAAGCAAGGCCCAGCCCGAGTCCCCATCGACTCAGAACCTCTCTCCTGAGGTCCCTGGCAACAGCGCTGCCATTTGTGCTAAGAAGGGGACAGAGTTTGCCATGGGTATAGAAGCATCTTTCTATATTCCTGGGCTCTGAGCACTTGATGCAGTCTGGAACCCTAGAAATGACTCTGCAGATTCAAAACTCCATGAGGTCGTGCGGGCTGGGGAGAGAGGCAGGTATGGTGGCTCAACTGGCTAATCCCCAACCCTGTCACCCCCAAAATCCCATATGGGCGCTGGTTTATATCCTGGCTGCTCCACTTCCCATCCAGCTCCCTCTTACAGCTTGGGAAAGCAGTGGAGGATGGTTTAAGTCCTTGTGACCCTGCACCCACCTGGGAGACCTGGAAGAAGCTCCTGGTTCCTGGCTTGGTATCAGTTCATTTCTAGCTGTTGTGGCCATTAGGGAAGTGAATCAGTGGAAGATTTTCTCTCTCTGTAAAAGCTGCTTTTCAAACAAAAACAAATAAATCTTAAAACAAACAAACAAACAAACAAACAAACAAATAAAAAAAACCCCTCCATGGATGAGCCTACCTGACTGGTCTAAATTTGGGAGGAGATAGGAAAGGCAGAAAGAGAGAGAGGAGATGGCTGTAGTGTGTGTGTGTGTGTGTGTGTGTGTGTGTTCCGCAAGCTGAACTAGCTGGAAGGAAGGAAGCCGGACTCATCCATAATTGGCAGGTGTATCCAGGCAGCCACTCAGGCTGGGCTCCTTGCTCACGCTGAAGGACTTGACAAGAACCTTCCCCAGAACGTGCCGAGGCTGGAGAGATGCAGGGCGAGCACCCGCTAATCTGAGCCTGAAGAGGTTCGCTGATAGCACAGCCCTGGAGGAAGTGGAGCTGTGTGGGCTGTGCTGGGTGAATGGAGTGGAGAAGGGGCGAGGTGCCCATGTTTGGGAGGGAAAGGACAGCCCTACGGTGGGCTAGGCCACTCCAGCGTGGGGACTTTGTGACAAGGAGCGGCAGAAATGGGCAGAAGAGCAAGGCAAGGAGCCCAGATGGTGGAGACACTGGGAAATCTGGCCAAGAAGTTCCTTCACCATGATGTTATGTATCCTCCCAGCCTGCCTGACTTCAGTCCTTTCACCAAATATTTACCAAGTTCCCGGTACACACGGCACAGGGCTAGGCCCGTATGGGAAACCAGGACGGGTAAGGATCGTGATGTTCTTGTTAGGAACCTTGGGATTTTGCAAGAGCCGGATTGACAATACCTCCAGAGCCACAGCAGGAGCGGCGGGCCGCCCGCACACACAGGCGCAGTGCTCAGCCATGGTGGTTTTGGGGATGCCAGATGTGGCAGAGGGCTCGTGGAGCATGCCTGTGTGGGCTCAGGTCTTCCAACTGAGCCTGAAAAGAGTGTCTGGCTGGAAGAGCAGTGCAGAAGGGCCTGCGCTCCAGAAAGTGGGTCCACACGCACAGGAGGGATCTGGGGTTTCTGTTCAGGATTGGCAAATGGTCTGGGCTGGGCTGGCCCTGGGGCCCAAGAGAGCCAGACAGAAGCGCAGGGCGCTCTGATGGGGACCAGCATCTGTGCCTTCCACCTGCACTGATTCCTCCTGGGCTCCCTGTCCCGCTGGGCCTTGCTCTTCTTTCCTGGGGTTACAGTCACACGGGTTGAGTGAAGCCCTGTGATACATAATCCGCCGCCATCAGGGGCACGGCAGTCCAGCCCAGTGTGGCCAGCAAGGAACCCCTCTGTCTCCAAGCCCCTGGCACCTGGTGCTGCTCCCTGCTGACCGGTGAAAGCCAGGGGATGCAGGGGATGGGGTGGGAGGGGGGTGCCTGACATGGGGCTCAGCCTTGTGGTGGCAAACAGGAAGCAAGTCTGATGTTATCCCCAGGCCATCTCCTCCACCACCTCATTTTCTACCTGATTCAAAGAGAGAGAAGGAGGGGAATAAAAAGCAAATGGGGGTTGTGGGGGACAGCAGGGACCTTGTGGTAGGGGCCCCAAGACGGGGGAGGTGGCAGAAGCATGAACACGGCCTCCCAAGCATGGGTGGAGAACCTGCTCCCAACCTGCTCCCAACCTAACCTCCAGCAGCAGCGGGCAGCAGAGGGGGATGTCCTCCCCTCGCCCTCATCCCCACCCAGCCCCAGCCTCCCCGGTGTGATTGAGGAGGAGGCTACGGAGTGGAATGTTATTACAGCTTTTCCATAATGCAGTGTCATCGGGACGCGCGGGGCCTCTGGGCAGCGCCCTGGCAGCCCCATCACTCTTGGCAGCTGCACGGAGCTCCTAGACCACGCGGGAAAGGGCAGGCAGCAGGGTAATAAAACAAATGGCAAGGCAAGACCACTCATCAGCAGCTCTCCAGAATGATCTAAACTTTGGACTTTTGATTTAAATCTGCAGCCTCTGTGGCCAGAAACATAAAGCAGAAGACGAAGGAACAAACTAAAACGAGGGTGCCGAGAGCCAGAGGGAGGGGGGCCGCAGCCTGGAGCCAAGGCATACGCGAGTGAGCCAGGCAGTCTAACAGGAAGCCGGGCTTGGGCCCGTTTTAATTTGGTGTCAGAAACTCCTGAGACAGGACGAAAGAATCAAAAACAAACCGCAGCACAAAATCCTGCCATCCTGGTGCTCTGGCTCTGCCCGGGCACTTTCTCCCCAAGTCCTAGCAGGTGGAGGTGAGGCAGGTGGGCCGGGAGGCCCAGGTTGTACTCTAAAGACTCAGTATTCACAGACAGGCAGTTGTACAACAGGCATTCCTGCCCAAGAGTGACCTTGAAGTGAAAGGGGACCATTGGGCCAGAAGAGGGATGGCCGTTGTAGAGGGGTCTCAGGAAGGCCTCTCTGGGGTGGGGTGGGGGAGTGCATTAACTACCAGGCAGTTTGGGGTAGGGGGACAGAGCGCTGGGTGCTGAGGCTGCACTGGAGGGGTCCAGGGAGACCCGCTCAAGCTCCTGTCTGACTTGGAAGGAGCTCAGCGCCGCCCCAGGCAGTGGGGTAGCCATGGCCAGCAGGACCCTTCCAGCTACTTCTACAAAAGGGGCACTGAATGACTGGATTCAAGTCCAGGTCCATGTTTTTCTGGCAACACTGAGGTCCTGTATGCCAACTGTTTCCTCAGTTGAATGAGTCGGAAGAAGAAAACCCAGGCAATGGCCCCACGATGAAGCTAAGGGTTTAATTCCTTTTTAATGTTT